AACCTCTGGTCTGTCTTTCTGGCAAACTTCATAAAAGCCAACTTGACCGTGCTGGTACCCGACTCTGAGGTCCTACCTTCTGGTGACTTATGCTATTTCACCAACACAGGCAGAAATGAAGCATGTCTCCGAATCCAGACGTGATTAGTAATGACTTGTTACTAAATCTTAAGTTCTCAATAGTCTAAATTCACTGTCAGAAAATGGAGTTTTGGGTTAGTGCTCTTTGCACTCTTGTTTCTTTGCCCCATTCTTGGTAGCAGAAATGAAGCTTCCTAGTCTAGGGTTATATTCTGGACAGAAACAGCCATGGAGTAGAGAATTGATTTGTCAGTTATTTTGAACAGTCAGAGCTGCTGCTTCATGGAACCATCTTGGGTGGACTTAGAAGTAATAGTGGTTGAGCACTGACCTATGAACCAGGTCATGATTTGATTCCTGGTCAGGGCACACTAGATCACCAGTGTGGGGCGTGTGGGAGGCAGCCAATGATTCTCTCTCATCGATGTTTCTATCTCTCCCTCTCTGATATCAAATATATATATATATTTTAAAGAAGTAATTAGGCATGTGGGAACCCCGTTCGCCCCATGCTGCTTGGAAAACCGGCTGAGATGGAAAATGGTCTCAGAATTCTTTTTTTAAAAATATATTTTATTGATTTTTTACAGGAGGAAGAGAGAGAGAGATAGCTAGAAACATCGATGAGAGAGAAACATCGATTCAGCTGCCTCCTGCACACCTCCCACTGGGGATGTGCCTGCAACCAAGGTACATGCCCTTGACTGGAATCAAACCTGGGACCCTACAGTCCGCAGGCCGACGCTCTATCCACTGAGCCAAACCAGCTACGGCCAGAATTCTTATGTGACTGCTCACAGGATCTAAGCAGGTTTAAACGACTGATGTTGGGCAGACACAGGTGATGGAAGAGATGCAGACTGGTGAACTGGAGAGTACATGCCTCACCTGAAAAAGGCAACCAACTCCTCCTCCTCTCCAGCTGTTACTCCAGTTTCAGCACATACGGGGTCCCAATGAGTGTAATTTGAGGAAGACTAGGGTTATATCATCAGAGATTCATTTTTTTGTGCTGAAATTGGGCTTTCTTCCAGCTAGCTCTGGAAACTATTAGCACATTATTTCTTAAGTTCTATTACTTAGGGAGAATGAAGTATCAGCTCTTTAATCTCTATGGAGAGGAAAATTGGAACCGTGGTATTAAGAGCTGAATTCCTGAATGTGGGGCCACCTAAGGTTAAAAAGGAATGGTGGTTTAAAGCTGCCAGTTTCGGGTCCCTCTATTTGGAAATGTCAAAATTCCTTGTAAGTAGAAGCAATTGTACTGATCCTATATACTATTTCAGATTCTCCAAGTCTTTCCAGTCTTCATCCTCACAGTAAATATTAAGAGGGAGAAGTTGCTACAACTGCAGTCGATATACTGGGGAAATAGTAATTCTTAGCAGACTCATAAAGTGAAAACATCTTAATTCATTATGCAGCTAAAACTTTGTCATTGTTTAGTCTTTAAAGGAGGAAAAACTCAGAAATGACACTTCTTTTTGGCTTTCTGGCTGTGTAAAGATGACTCCTAATCTTCATTGTACTAACATGCAAACTAAGATGAAGGGTCAGTGGGTGTAAATGTGATTTGTTAAGGGAGAATAGCAACCTCATTTTTTGATAGAGATATTTTCATGAAATGCTCATCACTAATGAATACATCAAAAACCATACTTTATTTTATGTATAGCAATACAATTTACATATTAAATAACACTATAATAGAATGATTTGATATAGTTTTAAACAGAAGGTAAAAGGGAAAAATTTCAGGTTACAAAACCCCTCCCCCTGGAACAAATTAAAAAAAAACCCAAAACACTTTTTCCAGATGGGTCAATGCAGCAAATGTCTTCAGTGACTATGTCTAATTCCTATTGCACAAATGGTCAATGGAATTAAAAAAGGAAACCCAACTCTCACAACCACTGCCTCAAAGAAATCACACATGTTGGATTCTTTTGGAATGCAAAGATGGTTCTTGCTACTTCAATACACAGAAAATTGAATTCACATATCCACCACACAAAAAACCCCCCCAAAAACAAAAATCAAAAACAAAACTATGACGGAGTTGAAACTAGAAAAAAATTAGCTTTATATGAAAATATAAAATTCTATGATTATATACCATAGATACAAAGTTCCCAGAAGATGCTTATCCAAGCAACAAAATATTTACAGTCTTAATGATTTTAGCTATTTCAAAATGAAGTGAAAGAAACACGAATCAACATGAAGGCTAAGTGATTTTTTTTTGTTTGTTTTTAGTTTTTAGAAACAATGGCTGCTTGCTAGTTTCAAATGTCTTAACAAAAGAGTCACTACCCCAAATGTTGGAGAGTTGCTACATTTTATAAAATCGGCTGTCTCCTTTTCTGGAGATGTTTATTTCTTAAAACTCAAGATATTTTTCTTGAAATTAATTATCCTCTGTAGAAAATTCTTCCCTTTGCAAATATTTAACAAAAATACTAAAAACAGTTTAACAGCTAAGACAAAGTAGAGGCCAAATATCATTATTACAATTCCTTCCTATTTGTAGCATGCCTTCTTTCTAGAGATAAGTAAAGCCAATATTGGATGTTAAATGGCAAGATGTTCAGGGGAAGTGCAAAGGGGTAAGTGAAATTACAGCTGTTAAAAAAAAAAAGCAGGCATTTCCCTTCATATAAAAATTCACTGACACCATTGGAACATAAACTTTGGAACATAAGGAGTTGAAATGCATTTTCCAGTATAACTGCTAAATTCTTAAGACAAACTACATTTTTATTATTATTTCTTAAATTATGATGAGTTTGGGTTTCTTTATTTTTTATTTTTGCTTTGAATCAGTACTATGTATCTTTGGTAAATTGGTACTATATTTTAATTTTTAAATACAGTATATAAGCATTCAAGAAAAAATTCATAACAAGGCAGTTGTGCTGTGTCATTAAGAAATAATTAAGGTTAGTTGATTTAAATATGTCACTCTGGGCTAAAAACTCCCTTGAATACCGTTACCTTCTCTGACCTTGCTGGACTCTCCAACTTGAGATAGACTAAAAGCTCCAACGAATAAAAATCCAGAAAACCAATTCAATTGATCTTATTCTTCCTGAAATTCAGACGTTAACTTTTTTGTATATAAAAAAGATATTGTGGCTTTTGGATGCAAGAGAGTTCTCCTGATGGAAATAAGGTGTCTTTTCTCTGATGCCCAGCACGGCTGCTTGGCCTGGTCATTGCAATTCAATTTTGTATGATGTGCACATTCTGTTTACCTAGAGCTAAAGTCATGTACCCAGTGCGCTTATTTTATAAAATAGCACACATTAATTTGCAAAAGCTATTTCCTTTCCCCGAGTGCAGTGGTGATAACCTTGTTAAGCCATGTGCTTATGTTTCGAAGAAAATGCCATCTTTGAAGCTCTGCCCCGGAAAAGCTGCAAGCAAGCCTCCGCCAAAATCAAAGGAAGAACAGGCGGGTGCACTCTGTGGGGAAAGGGAGGAACTGCTGTGCGCGCATCACTGTCCTCAGTGAAGTAGGCTTGGATCGCTTTGGCAAGATGGGCACATAGCAATTGCTCATAGCTCAGTGGGTCAGGATTTGTAGACTTTGGTTCAAGCCCGCTGTAAACAACTGGCTCACAGAGAACTTCTAAACCATCCTGGTAATGTTTCTATTCTATTTACGAGCTACCTCTTTTATCATGATTCTGATGGCCATAAAAGAGAGGGTCACAGAACTGTGTTGGAGGGTGTGCAGTTCCATGAATTGAGACCTCTGTAAATAGCACAGAAGGGAATACTTGCGGTGTGTCTCCTAACCAATGTTTACTTTTATATTAGGAAAAAATTACTGAGGGATCACAAACCCCAACTTGAACATTACTTCTGAAAGTCAAGTCCACTGTGCCAACTACTGTAGTTAACTCATGTCAATACTCTATACAGCCAAAGTAACCTACTTAATTGACTACAACGATCTAGTTTGTAATGATCTGAAACCTCTCCCTTCCCGATTCCCTGTGGCCTTCTGACAGTTGTAGTTCTTCAGTGTTGAAGCTTTATTCTTGAGTGTTAGGCAGAGCTTCCTTCTATCACCTCTCATGGGAGCAGGGGGACTGTAAAGGTGTCTTAATCAGCAAAGTTAGCAAACTTTGCTCATTTTCACATCTTTTCTCAAGGAATATTGTGTTGCTGAATCCATGATAGATGAGATTAACCTAGCCCTGAAAATTACGTAGTTCATGAGAACTCCATTGACTGGGCCTATGCATTAGAACTCCGGGGCGTGGCCTGTGGCCTCTCTCTGCTTAGGGGCTTTGGCCCTTCAGCACCGTTCTGACAAACTTCACGGAAAGCCAGTGCAAGAGAAAGAGGACCTCAGTGCTGATGATCATTAATATTCGAACGCCTACCAAGATAGTAAAATAGCCAGGGGGGACTTTTTGTTGAAGTTTATTGACATAAAAAATAATCAAAACCATTTTTTTTCCTTAACAGGTCCAGTTCTGGCGGTGATGTCACTCCTGACAGAAGTTGTCCCTCGAAAGCAAACAAGCACTAGGAGAAACAGATCTCAGTAGGTAGGTTATTTTTTTCTAATGGAACTGAAATTCCTCATAATGTTCCTAATTTTCCCATTATGTCCAGTGGGGTGAATGTGGCTCCAGGGGTTAGGCCCTGGGCTCTGTGTGATGATCATCAGCCTCTTTTACTGAAGTATGTCTGATCTTGAGGCTAAACTACATCTTGAAAATGTAGATATCACATTTTATCCAAGATTCTATTTTCCTCTCTCCAAATCTGATTTGCCCACATGTGGGAGTCTAGATGGTCCTAGACTTTTGCTAATACAGTATTTTCATTCTAATCCTAAGTAGAAGAATGTATGTAATTATGAGATTTATCATGAAACGTTTGGCAAAGGAAAGAAAAGAATGTTAACTAGATAGGTAGTTTTTATTAGATTGCGATACGAGTAATAGGAATTTTAGAGGACTAGTTTCAAAATTACACACCTGCAAAAATTTTCATATTCCACCTGCCGTGAGGTATGGTATTATAAACCACGAAACATTAATGGAGAGTCACTAAAGGGTTTCTTAGCTGAGCTGTGTAAAATATTGCCATCTCTCTATTGTAAAAGGTAGTCCTGCTTTTAGGGTGGAGCTATTTCAGAGTCAGATGGAAATAACACACACTGTCCACATAGCTACTGTGAAAACCGTAATTCAGAGATATCCTTTATTTTGACACAGTTGGGCATTTTTAAGCTATGAATATACGTTTGTAACTAATAGGTGATGTTCACATGAAGCAACTTTGAAACCTTCTAATTTCTTAATCGATGTCTTCCCCATCATACAAGGAACTGTTTCAAGGCCATGAGGTTGACCGACCTTCTTAGTAGCTCCCAACAACCTGCTATTCTTTAAAAGAAAACAATGCTCATTCACTAAAATATAGAAGGCATACAGCATTGAACAATGTCTAAAAAAAAAAAAAAAATAGCAGAAGAGGGCTGAGGAAAAACACAGCATTGCCTGCTAGTAGAATGTAACTGCTTTAGCAAGAATAATAATAGAACCAAGATTCACTGTCATAACAAAGACCTTCACTGTACTGAACTAAAAAAGTAGCATGTATGTTGTTACGGAATGTCACACCAGGGTTTGCTTTAGTATTAGATTATAGGCAGTAACACTGATCAGATAGTGCAAACTAGGTCAAATTGCGTTTCACGGGGGGTGGGGGGTGAACAGAGGTGCAAATGCTCAGTAGGATACCATTAAGACATAAAATGGCAAAAAATAAATATCAAAACTTTTATCAGTGTAAAAAAGTAACTGGGTTATTGTATAACCTAGAGTCTGGCAAAAAAGGCCTCAAAAAAGTTCTCAGTCTTCAGAAGTTTTACAAATTAGGCGCCTGGCAGGTCGCAGTCACACCAGAGACTCCATGCTCTCGGCAGGGTCCGATTCGTCCGCAATGAGAACAGCACCATTTTTGTCCACTGCCATGGGCCCGTTCCCATTTTCTTTAGTGCTGACCAGGCTGAGCATTGCTTTATAGACAAACTGGTATTGTTCCTGAAAAACAAGAGGAAGACGGCGTGAGCCAGAGGGCAGCCGAGTCATTTCATCTAAGGCAGGAATACTAATTAGAAATGTAACTGGAAAACATTCTAGAGAAACAGGAATGGACGTTTATGCTGCCTGAAAAAAAATCACATGAATCCTTTACAACCAAGACATGTGCTTTCTTCACGTCCTTTAGGTTTCTGCTAGCTTGGAACTAATTCCCACTGTCGAGAGTCCATTAAGGTAACAGGGTATCCGCCTACTGGAACTAGGGAACCCTATACCCTAGAGAGCAGAGTTTCTCCACCCCAGACGACTCCTTGTTTTGGAGGTCTGCTTATTCACTGCAGGATGCTCAGCAGCATCCCTGGACTCACTGGACGCCAGACCACTTCCCTCCAACTCCAGTTGTGACAACCAGAAAAGTGTCTTGATGTTGCCAAATGTCCCCTGGGGATGGGGAGGGGGCCCAAATCACCCCCAGCTGGGAACCACTGCTCCGCAGCCTGAGTTCTGACTGATGTTGTAGTCTTCATAAATAAGCAGAGCACTTACAATATCTGTGAAAACTCCAGGCCTCATAAGATTGATCATTTTTGCAACCTGGAAAACATCCACGGCGTTTTCATTCTCTAGCTGCTGGGACAGGGTGGTGAGGGCACACAGCATTCCCGCTGAAACCGCTCCATACCTCGGGAAGAAAGAAAATGCTAGTTCAGATCTACTAAGGGGCTGGAATGACCCTCGCATATTTTCATAGAAGCTAAGTAGACTGTATTGACACTTACTCTAAAACACAAAAATGAATGAAATACTGGACAGGGGAAGAGATTTAGAGGCTAAACCTGAGATAAAGAAGACATTGCTCTATGAGTGTGAAACCTCCCAAACTGGCTTTATCAGATACTTAGCTTGATGTTTAAGATGAAAGGAGAAGTTCAAAATTAGACTTTAGAGAGATACAGAAGATCTGATGCCTGGACGGGTTAAATAATATGGTAGGAACAATGATATGAGAACTTTAACTGTAAGCCATTGAACAAGTAGAAAGGTGAAAGGCTCTACAAGTGTGTGTGTTTTTTGAACAATCTCAAACAGCTAAATTGAACTTACAAAATATGAATGAAAGTGGAAATACAATGCTCAAATGCAATCAGAGAATTCTCAAAATGAGTGCCATGTTAAGTAATAACTTTGGGCACAAAGCTTTCTAAATGATGGCATCTTCTGTAAAATTCTTTGAAAAATATGGTTCTCTTTGCTTAAAAAAGTCTTGGGAGAAGGAGACTTTTCCCCAGGCCGGCAGCTCCATTTTCCTATGAACTGTGATGCAGTTTCCACACGAATGATGAGCAAACAGAGGATTAAATACAGTTGTTCAAGGTGGTATTTCTGGTACAAATGAGACTAGGACTTAGATGCCCTGTGTGTACTGTTCTGGTAAAAACTATTAAATATGCAGTTTCTGCATTATTCTTACATGAAATTAAAACAGTACAGATTTTTACATCTTTAATATAAATAAGACCAATGTCCTCCTAACCATCACTCCAACTTTAGAGGTAAAGCATCCACAGATAAAAACGGTTGCAATTTTGGATGCAGCCTTCCAGATGTCAGTATGTCAGTGAATTTCAGCCAGCTCATTCTTTCACCTGCTACAGGCGTACCAGACTCACTCATCGCGCAAGGACGGACATTTAGGTTACATGTGTATCTTGCGTGCATCGGAAGAGGAGCCCTCCTGTGGAGAAGAGCTGGGTCACAGGTATGCCTGTTTCCGTTTTCAAGATATTGCCAATTTCTCTCCCATGTGGTTGTTACCTGTTTACACTTCTTCCAACATGAGAATATTTGTTTTTCCTCATCATTTAATTAATTTATGTATTTATTTTTTGGTTAATCCTCACCCGGTTAGAGAGAATGGAAGGGGAAGGGGGAGGCGGGAAGAAAGAGAGAAAAACATCGATGTGAGACACATCAATTGGTTGCCTCCAGGTTGGGGGTCGAACTTGCAACCCAGGCACATGCCCTTGACCAGGCATTGGACCCTTTGATGCGTGGGCCTATGCTGTAACCACTGAGCAACACTAGCCAGGGCTTTCCTCATCAATTTAAAGTTCAATTCTTTTGCCAATCTGGTGGGTGAAAAACTTACTATTGTTTTAATTTGTATTTCTTATCAGGGAAGTTGAATATCTTTTTGCTTATTGACAATCTATATTTCCTCTTCGGAAACTGACTATTAATATACTTTGGACATTTCTCTAATAGGTTTGTCTCTTTTAAATGGATTCATAGAAATTATTTTATGTTACCTATGGCACATGTTGCAAGTATTTTTTTCCAATCTCTAGTTTCTGTTCACATTGTTTGTGATTGTTTATGTCGTAATGAAGTTTAGATGTAATCAAGTTGATCAAATCCTCATTTTTGGCTTTTTTGGAATCTTGTTTGAGAATGCTTTCTCTAGTCCAGTATTTTACATTGTTTTTACATTTTATGAATTCATCTGAATTTTATTCTGGTTTTGGTGTAAGGCAGTGGTTCTTAACCTTCTGGCCCTTTAAATACAGTTCCTCATGTTGTGACCCCCAACCATAAAATTATTTTTGTTGCTACTTCATAACTGTAATGTTGCTACTGTTATGAATCGTCATGTAAATATCTGATATGCAGGATGGTCTTAGGCGACCCCTGTGAAAGGGTCGTTCGACCGCCAAAGGGGTCGCGACCCACAGGTTGAGAACCGCTGGTGTAAGGTAAGGTCTGATTTTAGTTATTTTTCCTCATGGGTAACTAATTGCTCCAGCATATTTTTTTAATGCTTTCAATTAGAATTTATAGTTTTCTTCATAGTCTTGGCTAATTTCATTCTGGGTTAACTCCTAGTGTTTTAGAGTTTGTTACTAAGAATGGACTCACGGCATTTTGTTTGGTTTCAGTTGGTGGAAAGTTGATTTTCACAAGGTGAACTTGTATCTGGCACGCGGCAGAACTCTCTTTGAGGTCTAATTATCTGTGAACTGTTTCTCTAGGTTGGCTACATCTTTATCTGCTGGTAATGCCAGTTTTGCCTCTTTTCAACCCTTAAGTATTTTGCTTTACTGTGTTGGTCAGGACCTCAATAGTTTTGTACTCTAGCACTACAAGGATACATCATGCTGTATTCTTTAATGGTAAAGCTTCTAAGTTTTTAATATTAAATAAAAATGGTATAGGTTTTTCTGATAAATAACACTGATCAAGTTAAAGAGGATGCTTTATACTTGCAGTTTGCTGAGTTTGGGGGATGGGGATTACAAATAGGTGCTATTTTGCTTTGCAACATCTATTGATTTTTTAGCAATACCTTTAATAATTTTCTAAATTCACTGAGTTTTTTGGTAATATTTAACCAGCTCTTCATTCCCAGAATCAATCTAACTTTTTCATGATGTATAATTCTTTGAATATAACACACTGGTTTTATTTGACAGTATTTAGACATTTTTATCCACATTCTAATGTCTGTTCTGTGTGTTGTTTAAATGCAGCCTGTCAGAACTTAGTGGCCTTAACAGTTTTGAGAACGCATCCTTTTATTCAATTCTTAGTCATCGCTAATGTGTGGTGTGCTCTTACTATGTTGCTAGGCTTTTTTAAAGATATTTTACATGCATCAACTTAACCTTCACAATGACCTATTTTTAGGTGGTACTATTATCCACATTTTGTGGTTGAAGAAACAAGGCACATTGTGGTAAATTAACTGGCCAAAACCTCATAGCTGGTGACTAGAGCCTAGATTTGAGCTGATACATGTAAATGACTAGGAACAGAGACTAGCACATCTACCATATGTTCAAAAAGTATTATTATGCTTATGATTGAAGGAAGAGGGGCAGGAAGAGATTAACCAAAGAACTTATATGCACATACATAACCCATGGATGCTGACGACAGTGCAGTGAAAGCCTGGGGTGGGGGCGGTCAACGGGAAAAAAGGGTGGTATATTCGTCATACTTTCAACAATAAAGGTAAGTTATAAAAGAGTTTACTAATATGGAATTATAAATAGTTTTAAATATTTATGTCCTTTAAAATACTTCTATTATTTTAGTCTTTTATTATAGAAAATATCAAACCTACATAAAAGTACAATAGTACAGTAGCCCTCACGTAGCCATCAATAAATCACAACAATCACTAGCTCAAGGGAAATCTTGTTTTATCTCTACTCCCTCCCTCATGTACATTGAAGCAAATCCCAAGTATTTTATTCATTAATATTTTGTTATAAAACTCTAAAAGATAAGTAAACATTATCACACCCAAGGATAGTAACAATTCTCAAATGTTTTTATGTAATTACAGATATATGGTAGATTTTTCCTCACCAGTTTTCAAAGTTCTATCTTTCATTAGACTTACTATCTCCTCCCTGCCCCCATTTCATTACTATTGGCTTTTATCTTTTAATTCCTTGAACTTTTTTTGAATTTATCTATTTTTTCCTGTTTTCTTGAGGTGAAACATTAGCTTTTTAAAAATCTTTTCTGCAATAAATACAGCTTAGGCTGGAATTTTCTCAGTGTAGTTTGGCTACATCATCATTTCAAGTATTTTGTAACTTCTATTTTCAATACCTCTTTAACCCATGAATTATCTACAATTCTAGATATAAGAACTTCAGTGTCTTAGTATAAGGATTTGGGGTCTCACTTCATTATTGGTTTTTAATATTAATGCATTGTAATCAATGAATGTGGCCTTGTGTGGTATCATTTTTTTTAAATGTACTGAAATTCCATTTATGGTCAATTTATCTAAATAAACCATTTACATGTGAAGAGACTATATGGTCTCTCGATACAGTTTCTTAGGTAAACTCTTTTACATATCACTATTAGATCAGCCTTGTTAATTGTGGTATTCAGGTCTCTTATTGTTCTATTGTATCCTGATCATTCTGTGTAAGAATTTATCTCTTTATTCAGTTCTTGGAAAACCTCAGCCATTATTTCTTCCTCTTGCATCTCTCCATGGGCTCACCTCTTAGACATATGTTGAAAGTTCTGTATCCAGCTTATGAGTTTGATTTCAGCTTTGTCCATTTTACTACCAGCACTTCTTTCCATTTCCTAGGCTCTAATTTGTTCCTGACACACAACACAGGTTTTTAATTCATTTCACACAGTCTTCCTTCAGATCTCTGAGCATATTTTAAAATACTGTTATTGCTCTGTCCTAAATGCTAAGTTCTACTGAGTTTACTACTTTCTCATTTTAGCATGGTACCGATGTTTTCCAGGGGGAGAATTTAACCTTTGCTAGTCTGTTCTAGAGAAACTGTTAAACTTAGGGACCCTTTTCCCCTTCCTTCATTCTTTCTTAAAGTTATCCAAATCATGTGGGGTTGCTCTGGCCTTTCCTATATTTAGTCACTCTTAAGTCAGTATCTAAATTAAAATGAAGTATCTACACAAGAAGACATTAAACACACAAGAATTAAACATGACTAGAAACTAAGTCAAATCAATCAAACATACAGATATTTTTAAGTACCTTCTGTAAACCAAGCATGAATAAAGATTGAAAGGCCATTCTTTTTTTTCAGCAGTTTGGGAGTTAAGTGGGATTAAAGGATGTTTGTCAAGTTTATAGGGCTGTGGTAAAAAATGAGGCAGGTCATTTATAAGCTAGATTAGTAAGAATAGTATATAAAGTCCTGGCTCTGGCAGTTTGTCTGCACTCCCTCAAAGCAATGCTTTTTAACTAGTGCTGTTAACGAAGCATTTTCATCTTTCTCTTCCTATGCTACAAAGACATCAAAAGAAATGCAAGCACTTTAAGTTACCAACCAATGCAATGTTTGTAGGTGCTCTGCTGATACAAATTTTATAACACACCGGAGTTCCTTGCATAGTCAGTGTGTATAACATCTACATGCCCATTTAATCACTTTTTACTAACTACTCACAATTGTTACAGCTTTGCTCTTAAGAGGTTGTTTTTAACATGATAGCCAAGAATGCAATCTTGGGGGGAAATAGCAATGCAAACACCTTCCGCAGTACTATAAGACATTAAAACTTTGTAAGTGAATGAGAAATAAAGTAGGAAAACACTCAGTCTGACAGATGTGAGTGCAGGATGCTTACTGTGAAAGTAGCTGGATTTGACTGTGGCAGGGCCGGCTTCTAGCCTCGCCACCTGTTCAGTTGCGGGGAGCGGGGGGGTGTTTTGCTGGATCCCCTACTCAGAAGGGTCCTGCACTTAAGTTTAGTGCTCTGTTGTAGCCATGTAGAAATTCCTAATTTTTGGACAATTGTTCCTGCATTTTCATTTTACACTGGTCCCCACAAATGATTGTAGCTCTGACACTTACTGTCTGTGCACACAGGCCGTTACTAAGCGTCACTATACTTGTTTTCTTATATGTGAAGCAGGGATCTTAAAGCTCCCCTCCCAGAGGGTGAATTTGAGGATTAAATGAATTGGTGATGAAGGAGTGTCTTTGCAGCAGTTGGTATAGAAGGCACTCCATTTCTGCATCTCCTTTAGACTATCTCAGGACCAAATTAAAATAAGTTACTGAAAACCCCCAAAGAGCTTTTGCTTATTTGAGCTGTATCTGTCAATATCAGAAATTAGAACTGAGGAAAACCATGCAAGCACACATTCCATTAAGCATCAGAGCGAGGATGCCTCCCAGGTCACACAGCTCAGGAACGCTGTACTGTATGCTCGCTCACGGCAGAAGGAGTGAACAAGGCAAACAGTATCCACATTATTATGAAAACAGTGTTCATCTCTTGAATCTCCATCTCATGGAAGGGCCTTGAAGACTGCCTCTCTTCCCCCTCCAATCCCCCAATCAAGTGTCCTTAGAACACACTTCGAGAACTGTTCAGTGAAATTAGGCTACTGTGATATCCAATAGGGTGACAGATATGTCCCCAGAGTGAATGTGCTGTGAGTGAGGGCCTAATCTGTTGTCTCACAAGACTGTCTAAGAACCTATCTCCCAACTTCTGTAGAAACAGACTCCCTTGTAAAAACTTGACAGTAATGATACGGCTCAGCTCTGAACAGAATTGACTTAAACAGATGACTACAGGATGCTGTGCCTGCCCTCAAAGAACATTTGTTTACGTTTTGGTGAGGAATTTTATCATTTATCTAGAAATGTCATCTACCTGGCACCCAGCTGAGGGCCCTGAAAGCAGGTGTTAAAAAGATCGCTATGAAGACCAGAGATATCGTGGAGTCTGTGCACTAAGAGCTAAACTCTGACTTATAGTGGAAGCGCTCAGGTCCTCTCTCCAAGTCTGCTCACTTCTAATTTTGAGCTTAAAATGCTTTGTAAATTGGCTTTACTGTTCACAGAAGAATTGACAAATGCAACAAAAAATAAGGTGCAAGGCTCTCTGGTGAAAATTCGTATCAGGGTACATATCTTGAATTTTTGTAGGTCATCACAGTCTGAAGCATAGAACCCACTATGTGCTAGGCACTGGGCTTCACCCTGTGGAGACTGGGATGAGAAAGTTACCACTGCTGGTCTCAACAGTCATGTGGACAAATAGTTACAATATCTGATAAATAGGAATGGCTCTGGTAAGGATGTGATGTTTATAAATGGTTTTGATGATCACCTCTGAAATGAGTGAGACTTTTTGAACAGTGTGTTGAATGAAGGGGCACTCTGAGGAAAGTCTGTGCAGGGAAAGTGGCCTGTAGGAGGACGGGCTGGCAGCTGGAAGAGGAAGCAGGCCAGACTGGGAGAGAATTTGTGCTGTGCTGGAAGGGTGGGGAGCAGCAACAAGAGGTGGCAGATGGGGCCGGCAGGAAGAGGACAAGTTTGGTTTCAGATAAGCTAACATATAAGGGGGTTACACGCCATCATGAAGGGATATAGGTACTGAAAGGAAACTCATTCAGATTGCACTAAAGCTAGCAGCTGTTTAAAAATTTAACGTTGTTCCTGAGTAATGCGGAAAAGTAATTTCTGTGGAATTGCTTATCACCTAATGATGGTGGATGGAGAAATGAATGAACACACTGCTTTAGGTGGTTTTCATCCCCATCACTTATATGATATTTGTAGACCCATTGGCTTAGGGTTAACTTTATCTTTTCTTATTTAGGCCTAAGAACAGCTACCTTTGATGATTCCAGAGGTGGAATAAAATAAAAATCATTGAGTAATACACCCAAAAGCTGAATATAAATAAATGAATGAAACAGTTCTGCTAATACTGCTGCTAATACTGTTTAACTAGGCAGTGGTGTTCTCTTCCTTTTCTCCTTCCCTTACCATAAAACCATAAGATTAAGTGTTTTACTGATTTTAGGACAAAATTCCTTGGAGTATTACTATACCATCCAAGTGAGTCTTAGAACTTGGGCAGCAACATTACAATATTACGATTTGGCCTGAATTAATAGGAGATGGTAACACCCAGAAGTAATTTAAAAATATGATTCACTTTAGTGGGGGGGGGGGGGGAAACCTTCTAGAATCAGCCCTAAATTTATGTATAACTGCCTACCCTAAAGTTTCATAGCCAGTAGCAACTACCCAGTGATTCTGAGGCTGTCTGTGTGCTGTTTTTATACACTGTTGGTGGTTTTCACATGAACTGAAGTTTGGACTATAATACTCTTCTAATCTTAATTCTTAATCTAAGTCAGGCTAACGTTCTGCAATAGTCACCATTTCCTAAGGAAGCAGCCAGTAAAATAGGTTCCTTCAAACAGAACTCTGGATTTGAGGTAAAGGTGCTGACCTAGGCCAAAAATCTTTGTGCCCTTTCAATTATATCATAAATTCAAGGGGGGGGGGCAACATAACCTTTATTTTCAAACTGACTAATACCTATGCTATTGAAGTAGTTGGTCATTTAATGAGCATAATGGATGTACTGAGAATTTGCTGGCCAAGAAAGCTAGATCCCTGGGAACTAAACTAGAGATGAGGATGTGTAACTAGTGCCATGTTGGCTAAAGGTTGGCAAGGTTCTATACAGCTGACTCACAGGTTTGTCCAGATATCCATACACCATGAGGCCTGTCTGTGGCCCTTTCCCTCTTAGTAAAGTGGCTGGAGCTGGGTTTGAGCACTGTTTGTACCTTAGAATCTCTGAGCCAGGAGCAACTTCTTCTCTTTGAGACCTACATTCTTTACCTTTAAAATCCCAAAGTCAGAACTCTAAACTTCAGAGCATACTGTAAACTCTAGTAGTTTAACTTTATTGCTAATCAACTAAACCATTTTTTAAAAGTTTCTTCTCTAATAGGTGTTTTTGAAAATTCAGTGTAGGCGTGTTAAAATAAAGGAAACTATCTACTCAACATAGATAATTAGTAATTTAACTGACTGATTTGTGTTATTGAAACATAAAACCTGGGAAAGCATGCGAATCTATTGTTCTGGGCTCAGATACAGGACTTTCCCATTTCTAGAGCACAAATTCTAGAACCTGAAGCCTTGAAGAGTTCAACACATTAAAGTGCAGACAGGACCACAACACCCTGCACAGGTACATGTTAGAAATGACACAGAATTGTCCCTGAGAGGGAACTGGTGTCTAAAATGTCTTCCCTTTCGCTGCTGGAGCAATGCAACAGGCAACAGTGTGAACTTGAAACTTAAGAAGCAGATACATACTCATCATGGACAATGGTGGGGCCATCCCTTGTCAAGGCCTCTTCCTTGATGACGTTGACAAGTTCAAAGGTACTGCTGATGGGGGCGTCTGGGTTAGGCCACTTGGGACACTGAAAGTGCCGGACTTCCAGGACATAGTCATCCTACAGCAAGACAACAGGGTTCATTTCACTCTACCATCCGTGGCTGCAACCTGCTCCTGAGAAAGCACTTCTTGCAGCTAAAGACCAAAGCGAGCAGCTCATGACAGTGAAACAGTAGAATCCTATTTTGTTCAGGCAAAAATTTCATGGAACAATTTTTCTCATCTTTAAAATTAAAAAAAAAAAGAGGAAGAGCTTAGGAGATCATAAGCCAGCTCCCCTCTTACCTGCCCCTTAAGAAGGCAGTTACTACACATCAAAATACTGTGTAACCAAAAGTCTTATCATCATCATCCCTGCAACACACTGCAAGCTTTCCATTTCTGATGGCAAAGAAAATACTGAGTGCTAGAATATTGTTTGTTCCAATTATGTCAACAGGCCCATTTGTATGTGCTCACTCAGAGGAGCTGGTTACGTTTCATCCACACAGCTGGGAAAGCAACTATTGGAAGGTGAAAAAAGGGGAAGTATACATATTTAAAATTAAGTCATACTCACATGCCTGGACCTGCCTGGAGGGTGGTAAATTACTTCAGTTACTTAGGCCAATCTGCCCAAATATAGCTATTACTCAGCACTGAGGGTTAGGTTACCTGTGTAGCTTCCAGAATAAAGTCGTGGATGATGATTTGTTCTTCATTAGAGAGGCACAGTCTGTCTTTGCTGATAAGGGTGACGGTAAAGGCCTCACAGTTCATGGATTCTTCTCGACTTGGCCAGTACACAAACTCATCTTCTGCCTGTGGGAACCAAAATACATACATAGATAAAATCCTCTGCAGTGCTGTCAAACATTTGTGTATGAATTTTCTCTTGCAAAATGATTTATGTTTGCCGTACCTCTCAAGTCAACTTTTAAATTAGGTTCATAGATTTATATCCTTATCTAATCATGCTGAGTTCATTGGTTATTTATTGTATTCTATTGTAAAACATACGTGATCATAACCATTTCTACCAATGCTCACCTATGTCACTGTAACAACCAAAATGCATCTATGGAGGATGCATTGGCCGTAGCTGAGAAGTGCTCTGTAATATAATTGTCATGGAAAAGGAGACGGGATTTAGGTCAATTAATTCTAAGCTATTATTCATAATTGCTTAAGCAACTATGACAGGCTAATTGTCATTTCCTATGGATTATGTTAATAGTTCACAGTTGGTTAACATTTTGCAAAGGACTTTCATAACGTTATCTATCTTATTTAATGATTCAATATACTGGTGAGGTAAGGGATTTTTATCATCGGCCTTTACAGGACTCCAGAGAGAGCCATGAGTTGGCCAAAATCTCTGATAAATGTTAAGGGACAGAGGCTGTACATAAATAGCACTTGGCTGTAGGTACACGGTATTCTTTAAAAGAAAAGTTAGTACATGATGTTAGGTTTCAAAAGGGGATAACATAGAAAGCCTTTTAGCCTTGAATCAGGCAAGCTTTAAAATGTTCATCTATTTTAAGATTAAAAGTAAATATTCAGGCTTCGTACTTGAATTCTATCCTTGAAAACTATGGAGACCTAAAAACAGTTAATTGTTGCAGACTGAGCAATACAATGATTTTGACAATAAGCCCTCCTCCCTTTCCTAATCAGTTCCTATGGCAAACTAAACTTTCTTTGGGCATTTTCCTAAAAATGCTAAGATACCACTAGTGAAGTCAGAAATAATTCTGAATAGTGTTCAAAACAAAGAGGGTTTTGTTTAATATTACAATGTTGCATTAGAAATGAGCCAACAGTCCAATAAGACTTATCACCCTTTCAAGTTTCAATACAGCTATTGCCAAGTACATTTTTATTTTTAAAGCTCAGCATAAGGGGAAGCAGATTAGCGATTGAGTTCAGGCTATACAAAAGAAGTCTGTAACTGTCAGTGTTTCAATAAACTTCATCCAAAGGAGATGGAAGTAGGGCCCTTTTAGCAGATATTAAAAACAAGGTAATTAATGATGGACAAGGCCACTAAATTTAACCAATATGCACAGACTAAGCATAGGATTTAGGGTTGGATGTGATCCTGAATAAATTAATGTAGTTGAGCCTTCCATTCCATGGCTGCAAAGTGGGAACAGTAAAACTACCTATCTCAAAGAACTTTGATGAGGACAACATGAATAGTAAATTATGGAGTTGGTCTAACGGCTGCCAGAGGGATTTAGTTATGGTGAAAGGAAGGCAGAGAGAAACTTTTGAATACAGGTAGTAAACGGGAATAATGGATCATCTTGAAAGACGGAGAAAAACAAATGCTACTTGTTAATTCAGTAGGCACCCTGGTCTCATGCTTGTTTTATGACAAATATAGTTACAGAGGTCAAAGATGTCCAGGCACCTCTAACAGTGCTTTCTCCATTAGGAACCAGTGACTTTTGGGCTAGTCACAGAATTGTGGTCTTGTGAAGTTATACTAGTAATAAACAAATGGGAGTCCAGAAACATTTTTAAATGTTTTGTTGTTAATCCTCACCCAAGGATATCCTCCCCACTAATTTTTAGAGAGAGAGTGGAAAGGGCGGGGGGGAGAGAAACATCAATGTGAGAAAGATACATAGGTTGATTGCCTCCTGCACACATCCTGACCAGGGCTGGGGATTGAACCCAAGGCCCTTTGGTGCATCAGCCGATGCCCTAACCACTGAGACGTGGTTTTTAGGAAAAACTACAATAAATGAATCTGACTTTGGGCACTGGAGCTGAGAATACAGACAAGTGTGATGCCACTGCAGCCCTGCTACGCCTCAGCGACACTGAGATGACGTGGCCCAGGGCAGTTCCTATATCCTCACTGTCTGCAGACCATGTGTCCTTGCGTTTGGTCCAGCCTCCCCATACAATGAGCTTGTGGGCACATGCTTTTGGTGACTGTCCTCTGTTAAGTGAAAATAAAATACTAATTCATCCAACAAATGAATGTTTTAACAGCCCTACATGCCTCCAAATTCCTCATGCCAACAGAACAGACCCCTACTGCCAGCTAATTTGAAAATTTACACTCGGTTTTCAGCTTCTCAACTTGGTTGCCATTCTATGGTGCAGAAGCAGCCTTGGTATTCTGAAGCTGGAGCAGAATGCGACAGCGAAGAAGTTCCTACTGACTGGGCACACAGTCAAATGCATGTCACCCAGACTAGGGTTCAATCACACTGTTCTTTCCTGACCGAAAACCTCACTCATCTGACACTCATGAGGCAGATCCTCGTGTTGTTTAGACTTCATGTGCTCACATGTCCTTACAGTAACTTTTGAACCCAACTAATTATGAAAGGAAGAGATCTAAGCACAACATTTAAGCTTATCTATGCCCACTTGCTGACCATTCTCTTAGTAGTTTAGAGAGCTCAACAGGGAAGGACTAAAGAGAAGAGAAAGAGGTAGTAGCTTAGTGAAGTTCTTAAACACCTTTAAGTGGGAATGGGAGAGCCTTTCCTTATCTCTTTCCCTGTAATGGCTCTGCCTTACCGATGGCAGGGAAAAGCAATGTGTAACTACTTTTTATACAATTTTTGGGGGGTGGCTGGGACATACACTACAGCAAAAATGATTGAAAGTATGAGCTCAGGCTACTCAGGTTTACATCTTGACTCTGTTTGATCATTCATGGATACCCTTGAGCAACTTACTTCCCTCAGTTTCCCCAGCTATTAAATGAGATAATAGTACCTCTGTTATGCAACTGTAGAGGAGAATGAATGAGTTAACCAGTGCCACCCCAATAAGTTAAAAAAATACATGTAGAGTAATAAATACAGCTACATTCTCAAAACGTTAGCTGCTATGTGTTTATAGAGGTCGGTGAAGGTCATACATTAATGAAGTTAATAAAAAGACCTTTTTCAAAACCTGCTGCACTGCCATGCACAGTGCAACTGAGGGGCGATACCACCAGCATTAGAGAATCAAGTAATGAACTGGCAGGGAGAGTGACTGAGTCTACACAAGGAATGGGAGCAGGTTAAAGATGAGAGGTCTGGGCTCCTCCCTAGCACCTACAGACACGGCACAGCCCCGTGGCAAGTACCAAAGTGATTGATGCTTAAGGCCGCCCGGCTCATTAGCCTACAGCAGATGTGCTTCACTCACCAAGCTCTGGTTGTCCGGCAGCATGACAATGATCTGTGCATTGTGATCCCAAATCATTCGCCAGAAATCTTTCGTAGTGTGTGGCAGAGGATGCTGGGTTATAATGAATTCATTGCTCCTGTAATAGCCCTTCAGTTAGGAAGACAAGCAATTATTATGATTATTTTATTCTAACATTGCAGTAGTAAAACATATTCATGAAATAAGGTAGCACTGTTTGGACCGTACTGAAATAATTGAAAAAAGGCATTCAGTGCACTTGGCTAATTTTTAGATGCACTTCTGCTAACACGTGTGGACAATTTTCTCTCCATGTACAATTCATTTCTAGTTGCCCCTGCTGTTTTTACTTAACGGTAATTTCAACATTTATTTAAAGACGAGATGGGTGGAATTAACAAAATTAATTCCTTAACAAGCACTTTTCTTAGTTGAAGCATTTTTGCACCCCCAATGCTTAGGGGTCTTTTGTTAGAGGTTCCAAGACACGGAAATCTCTCTAATTTTGATATTACACATTGAGAAATTCTTTGAAAAATGAAATCAGTCACATAGGTGGTATCTGCTCTTTAGCACCTTTCAGTTTTATTGACTTTATTTATAATTAACGGTTGACTCTCACCATGATGTAAGAAGCATTAATGTAATCTGTTCCTTTCATTCCAGGCAGCGGTGCAAGGCCCACTCGAGCGCGCTCAGCTGTCACATGCGAAAAGAAAACGCCACATTTGCCTGTTACACACATGGAACCAACAGCGCGTTCTAAGATTTACCTGGTCACATCCTCCTGGCTCCCCTTTCTTTTTAGCCAAGCTAAAGTGTTACCAGCTTAGCAGGATGTAAAACGAAATGCGCTACACATTCCCAGGACATAGGCGGCGTAGGAACTTTTACTGTGGGAGACGTTTTCACAGCACATCACGAATACTCTGTGCAGAGATGGCAGGTTTCAATCAAGTTTATTCTGGTTTCACATTCCTACAATCGCACCACCATATTTTACTTCACTCTTTTGCCATCCCCTTATCCATCTCTCTCTCCCCATGAAGGGCTTAAAACACAGTGGCGTTTGATCTCTCCAATGATCGCCTATCTCTTCCTGAGTTACTTATACAGAGGTGACCACCTAGCAACAGTGCTTTGATCTCAATGGGCAGAATTCTTCAATGGTATAGTCACCACTGTACAGGTTCATCTTGGGAATCCAAGTTTTAAAGGAGTGTTAACACCACAGTGATAACGGATAACGACTTTACTTTTTTTATAGTTACCACATGGCAGAAGTAACCTAGTTCTTGCACTTTGAGGTGAACTGAAACTAGGTTTCATGTCATGCAGCCGCAGTGACTTGCTGGCACTGAGAGCCAGCCCTCCCCAGTTTGATCAAATTGCCTTGTTGTCCTGCCCATCACCTTCCCCGAGGTAGTATCCGATTACATATTAGTGCTACGTAATCTCCAATGGAAAAGATACTAACACACCCAACCAAGTCAAACTGATTTTAAGATCTTACATGGCACTACCGAAGAGTTTCTGTTCTTTTCTTTGTTGCACTCTTTCTGAGCACTGAAGCATTCCACGTATTTTGCATTACATTGTGTGACCAGCTGAAAGAAAAACATTTTAGTCTTCATTCAAGGGCAGAGTTGTGGACATGCAAATTAACCTTGTTGTGATCATCATTTTGCAATATGTAGTTCAAGATATTTTGATGAACATATGTTAAATTTTATCAATAAAGGTAAAAAAACTGAAACCAAAAAAGTATAATTGATAGCATTTGCCTGATGATCTGGGGAAAAAATACCAATAATCAGATTACTACCTAGCAGATAATTTAGAAACTAGGAGAGTATTTTTATTTCACGAGTGGTATTTCTCTATGTTACCTTGGTTGTCTGTATGCTTGTCTTACTTCTTCTACCAGGGGTTTGGCTCCTTTGTGATAGGTACTAGGTAATAGATATTTACTGAATGAATGTGGATTCTTCCTGTTGATGTCATTGGTTTTGTGAACCATTTTCTTGGAATCCTTCAGGCATAAGAGCTATGCTAAAAAGCGCTAATCAACTTCTCAAAGAATTGACTAAGTTCTCAGTAAATTTTTGTTGAACTGAACTGACATTCTTGTAAGGCTGTTATAAATAATTAGCCCAGTAGTTTGGTTATTCTTCCTGTTTATATAAGTTGGTTGAACCACTTTGTCAATCCTGTATATCTATATTCTGGTTCATGTTAATAGAATACATGGGAATGGCCTCCTCTAAATACTAATGTCAAAGGCCCTGGATGTCGTTAAGTTTCTGATTATTTTTCCCCCTTCAAATTCTAAAGAGGTTAGTGTCTGTAAAAGGTCCAATTACCTGGTTCCCAATGGAATGAAGTGATTTCTTTGATGAATTTTTTAAAAAGTACATGTACTGCACCAACATTGTAATAGGTATGAAATGGTTTCCTGTGGTTTTTATTTCCATTTCCCTAAAGATGAATGATGTAGAGCATCTTTTCATGTGCTTATTGGTCATTTGTATATTTTCTTTGTTAAAATGTATATTCAAAACTTTTGCCCATTTTTGATTGAGTTGTTTGTCTTATTGTTGAGTTGTTGTGAGAGCTCTTTGTACATTCTGGACATAAGTCCTTTGCCAGAAATATGGTTTGCCAAAAAAAGTACATGTAAGATATTACAGAAATAGAAAAGGCAGCCTTTAAAAAATGTTGGTACTTAATTATTTTTCAGGAATTCATTTTAAACATATAAAATGAGACACTAATTACCTCAAATGTTTTTTTAGAGTACTTTGGATGCTATGGAAGGAGAGCTAGAAATATGAAATTGTCATGACTGAACTCTGAAATTAATCTTCCTCACTTCACATCACTTGCTATAATTGCTTGGCTGTCTCATTTCTTCAGGGGAGAGGCAAATGAAGGTTTCAGAGTCCATGGAAAGTTCTACCATGAAAACCAAAACTGTACAGACTCATCTCATTCTTCCCACCTTGATACAAATGAGAATTTACACGTGGAACAATGCAAAAAAAGAGAGTTTAAAAGACTGAGAGACTAGGAAATAGAAAAGCACTTGAGATTAGAGCAAGTTATAATAAATCCTTTGAGGTAACAGCTTTTCTGGTTTTAATTATGTTAACCGCCTTATAGTCTCTTTTTCCACCTTTACTCCATTCCATATAAACCTTAACTGCTTGTAAATGTCATGCTCCTATCAAAGAAAACAACTGTTTAGGAAAAGTTAACTTTTCTCTAGTATTCTTTAGCAGCTCTTTCCTAGTTTCTAAATTATCTGCTAGGACAGTCTTCAATAACTGTTCTTAGTAAGGATAAGATAGGGTAGGGTATTTTTTAGACAGTGGGGACTGATTCCAAAGCATTATGTCATTGTGGTCAGGGGCTGATGCCCACGTTCAGATACAGTTGTAAATTGGTCGGAAGAAAATGCAGCACCGCACTCTCTACTTGGGCCCCAACAATGCAGACAGTCGAACTCTGTATTTCTTTGCATTACAGTCTACGCTCATGCAAAAGAAGACATGACCCCACGCTCATGCAAAAGAAGACATGACCCCAAACTCGTGGCATTTCTTAATTCCTTGCTTTTTTACCAAAGAAATGTAGGAAAACGCTACCTTGAACTGTTTTTCCAGTCGTGTCTTTCCTCCTACTCCTGGTATGAGGATGCTGTTCACATAGCTATGCAGTTGATTTGAAGATACTTCAGTCTCTTTCCCAAGAATGGCTTCCAACAAGGCATCGTGGATGAAAATGTACTGCTCCTAACAGGCACAATATACGGCAGTCACTGAGCAATGCTGCTAAGGGGCGGCCACCTCTACCCCATCCCTAAAATCCACCTTGGATGAGCTCTTCCCGTAGCAGGGACCTCCCCGTGGATTTCTTCAAGCATTACCCCTATCTGGGTTGCCCCCATACTTACTTGCTTATCCATTGTAACTTAGTTTAGGGTAGAGACTGTGCTGAGTGTAGTTCTATAGTCCCTACCATGCCCCAAACCAGCGGTTCTCAACCTTTGGGTTGTGAACAATGAAAATACATCCTGCATATCAGATATTTACATTACGATTCATAATAGTAGCAAAATTACAGTTATGAAGTAGCAACGAAAATAATTTTATGGTTGGGGGTCACCACAACATGAGGAACTGTATTAAAGGGTCACAGCATTAGGAACCACTGGCCCAAACCATAGGTTCAATGTAGCATGCGATGGAGAAATGGGAGTTCAAAGAAGGACTTTAGAACCATTCTTTCACATACTATACATATATTTTTCACTCTCCACAGCCCTAGATCCAACTGTATTGGCTACATAAGTGCTTGTGTAGTTGCTGAGGATTCCACAGAAATGGAAAACTGGGAGCCAAAGAATCGTATTCCGGCCAGGATTCCTTCTAATACCAACCAGTGAATTCTTCCAGGCCCTAAGAGAATGAATCTGTCGCCTCAATGCCATTCACCGTCCGGAGCCCAGGCAGCCGCTTACCTCCGTCTGGACGAGGTAGTTGCGCTGTGTCCTGATGTGCTTCAGGAAGCCCAGGACGTTCACTGTGCTTTTGTCTTTGATCTGCTGCAGCATGCTGTCAATCACTATGTAGGTGCCTGTCCTGCCCACGCCAGCGCTGCGAGAGAGGAGGACACTCAGTAGGACCTCTTGCTTTCTCATGTCATGAACTGCGACTGGAACGATTACCATCTCAAGTGCTAATGAGCATAGAATCACCCTGTTGTTTAGACACGTTATTCATCCTGGATGGCATCCAAACAGTTTCTCAGCACAGGTCCCACTTCCCAAGTCTCGATGGGGAGCACAGCCTGCCTTCCCACCACAGGAGCTGCAGCCAGCTCCACAGCTGCTGCAGCGGGACAGGGGAGATTCCCTTGCTGATTCGGCCTGTGCCTAGTTCCCCAACGCTCCCTGTTATTCTGGGGGTGCCCACTGTCCTTTCAGTAAATCCCCTTTCTGACCAATGCTCCGTATTACAAAGCTCCTATTCAAAGGGGTACTTTCCTTTACTACGCCAGGTATAGAATACGAATGTCACATCTGGAAAACCTGGCCTCCTCTTCACATTTTTTTATTAAACAGAAGTGCTTGTGTACTGAATTCTGTGTACCGAGTAGCAAGCTTCTTTAGGCAGACCCCCCCAATCCCCCCTCCCGGCGGGTCCCCATCTCACACTGGTGTGTGATCTCCAAGCCCTCCGATAGCCATTCATCTCTATTTCAGTGATTCCTAACTGGGTTAGCAAACATGCAGAGTTCTCTGGGATTCTAAACAGAAGATGGGTTCCAACTTCTGCAAAGGACCTTGCATAGCATAAGAACAGCCCAAACAAGTACTGAGAAAATGCTGTGCAGCTATGAATATGAATCACAGAGTAAGCAACATCCACTTGAATACCAAAGTGAAAAAAGGCCAAGATTACAATTACAAACAAAACTCAGAGCACTTTTTAAACAACCAACCAAGGCCGTTTAAGGTATTGCAGAGAGAGTGGGCTTCCAGAAGGCTTTCCCAGTGCTTTTTAGAAGTTTATAAAGCACATGTAAGCTAAAGTTTTGAAAATGTAATCCTTTCATACACTGTAATTATTTCATGGAACCCACTAGAAAAGCCATTTACAGAAACTCAAAATCTCTAGTGTGGGAAGCTGTAAAATGGTGTTTCAGGTCAGATTTTTACATATGAGCAGCCTGCAGCTTCCGATACATAATGGAGATTTTATTAATACAATAATGTTATAAAAATTAGAGTGTATAAGAGATTTTGTTTTAACCTTAAAAGCAGCAGATGCTTTCTTAATATCGTGGGAATATGGTGGTTTTATGTAACAGGTCTTATTGGTCCCAGTCTTCAACGAAGACTCAGTTCTAAATCAAACAGCAGCAGGACCACCGCGGTCCCGATGCCCCAGTCTACACCCCCGCTCCGCCCACTTGGCAGGGAACCCAGGCAGAAGGGAAGCCAGGCCTACCTGCAGTGCACCAGCACCGGGCCCATCTCCGGCGTGCGGGCGGCCGAGGACCTCCGCACGAAGGTCAGGACGGGGAGGGCGTACTCGGGGACGCCCATGTCAGGCCACTGCGTGTAGTGGTACTGGATCACCACCCGCTCGTTCTGACGGCCCTTGGGGTTTCCCTTCTGACCCTAGAGAAAGGTGAACACGGACATCTTTACACTGAGTGTGAGCATTCGGGTAACAGCACCTCTGGCCTCGTGCGCCCCCGCTGCTGCTCCAGGCCAGGTTATTTCCGCCCCGTGGCATCTCATGCCGTAAATGGAGACATTTTCCCAGAGGGACGAGAAGTATCAGACAGCGCTTAGAAGAAAGAATGGTTTAAGAAAGAATGGTTTAGGACAGTGATGGCGAACCTATGACACGTGTGTCAGAGGTAACACGCGAACTCATTTTTTTGGTTGATTTTTGTTAAATGGCATTTAAATATATAAAATAAATATCAAAAATATACATCTTTGTTTTACTATGGTTGCAAATATCAAAAAATTTCTATACGTGACACAGCACCAGAGTTAAGTTAGGGTTTTTCAAAATGCTGACACGCCGAGCTCAAAAGGTTCGCCATCACTGGTTTAGGACGATACCAAGAATGAATGTTTAAAATGCGGTTTTTGGATGTGGAACCATACAAAGCACTTTGTAATTTGCCTGCAGGCCTCATTCCTGTCTTCCTGCCCCGCCTCCAGAGGCCTCCGTGCCTTGCTTTCCGCTGACAGTGGCCAGGACCCCCTCCCTTCCCCTCCACTCTCACTCCACGCCCGGGGGACCTTCAGGAGCCCACGTGCAGGCGGACCCTGAGTGACAACTGAGTCTCAATCTCTATAAATTTATCACTTTTATAAGTGAATTTTTCAGAGTCCTTTTCCTTTAAGTGGCTGAACTTTTTACATTTTAACTACTTTAGATGAAAAATTTCCCCAAACAGATCACTTACTATGATACCGCTTTTTTTATATACCTCTTCTAAAAACGAAAAAACAAACAAAACAAAACAGAAAGGTTTGCTGGCTCAGGTCATTACTAAGTCAGCACTGCGGCCTGCGGTGCTTGGCCCTGCGCTACAAGGCCCCCGATGGCTCTGATTTCATAATTCTTCTGTGGACTCTCATCTTCCTGTTTCTTTCTCATTTTCAATTACGACTTTACCCTCTTATCAGTGTGCAAAACATCTAAAGTTCTGATGTACTTCCTCCCCTGACTTAAGCTGTTTCTAAAATGAAGAGTAAGTGGGCCATGTTTAAAGACCTCCAGGGCTTCCCTGAGTAATGGGCGTTGCCAGTATGAATTGATTGCTGGCTCGCACCAGCTCAGTTCTGTTAGAGAGAACACAGACAATGCGGTGCTACTGACTTTTATATACTCTGCCATTCTTGGGGGGAAAACTAAACAAAGAAAGGACTCAATAGCCTTGGACCCCAGATGGTCTTCAGAGCAACTGAAATTGTATAAAATAATTTGAGTAAATGAATTCTTCTGGAGTAAGGGGGCTACAGCTTTATCACATTCTCAAAGATGTCCAAGACTCAAAAAAAAAATCGGTCAAGACGCACTGCTACAAACAGCCAATACTCCAAGTCTCCGCAGAGTAACTAGTCCACATCCTCAAGGGGCATCGGTGCAGAGGACCCAGTGCTGCTGTCCTCATCTGAGTCTCGCTGGGGCCGTGGAGTGTGAACAGCCCGAGACTCACACCCCGTGGAAGGGCTGCTTTCCGGTTATCTGTTCCTCTTGCCCAAACTCCAGGGGGCAAAACAAAGTGAAGTGGTTTCTTCACTCCAGCCCTCTGACCATGCGTGTCACGGCACCTTTCTAAGGGGGATGTGGATTATGTAGCATTTAGTTTTCCATACTTATAAGTAGCATCCTGTAGGCTTAGCGTTCCTTAAAAGCTGTCAGAAAATTGGAATTAAAAAGCTAACGCAAGCCCTGGCCAGACTGGCTCAGTGGCTGGAGTGTCAGCCACGGACTGAAGGATCCCAGGTTTGATTCTGGTCAAGGGCATGTGCCAGTTGCAGGCTCAGTCCCCAGCCCTGGTGGGGGCAGGTGCGGGAGGCAACCGATAGATGTGTCTCTCGCACATGGATGTTTCTTTCTCTCTATCTCTCCCCCTCCCTTCCACTCTCTCTGGTGAGGATTAACAACAAAAACAAAACAAAACAAAAGCTAACTCAACACAGATGCTGATGTATCTGCCGTGTACCAAAACCTGAGAGGACCTTTTCTAAAATGAAGCCTTCTTCAGAAAGAGGTTAAAGAACTCAATCAGTTAAACCCTATTCTGTACTTTGCCAACATTTTTCACACAACAAAGAGCTGTGAGAAATGTTTTAAAATACTTTCAAAAAACCAAGCTGGTTATGAGAACTGGCCTTGGTTGTGCAGTCATTCCCATGCAAGTTTAAAGAGAGCCGCCCTGGGCGCCCGCCCCCTGGCCTTGATACCTTCTTCACTTTCGCGTTTCTGACTGAGAAACGACGAACAGTGTAGCAGGCGTGGACTTTTGTGCTCTTCAGTGTGACAATAATGTTTCCATACTCCTCACTGTTCTCTGTCGGCCAATACTGATCACATTTTCGCTGCAAAAAAAAAAAAAAAGGTTGTAAATGGCAAATGCAATTTGTGCCACAATTGTACTGTTGATAACGTAACGTCAAGAGACAGTGTTAAAGCGCAGGTAGCATCGCATGTAGCCGACAGAAAAGGAACTCACGGGCTGCAAGCCACAGGCCGGCAAGATCATTAGAGACATGAGCCCAGTATTCACGATCATCTTTCAACACATGATATACTACCAAGCGGGCTTCAGAAGAGACCTGTATGTTGGACCCGTGAGAAATGTGGGTGGGACCTGTTATAATGGGAGCGGGAGGAAGGCGGGGCCGCACTCACAGCTGGGGCTGCCAAAGGCAAAACGGGGACTCCAGCGGCCCAAGGGAAGCTGCAGTGATTCGAGCACCAAGCCTGCAACTTCGCCTCATTCCAGCCCAAATCAGCATCATCGGCTGTAAGTTCATCATCTAACAGCTAAAACACTGACCATCATCTTTCAAAAGGGTCCTTTAATGCTGACCCGGGTGTTAAGGCGGTCTCTTCACCTCCCCGTCTGAACCGTTACTAGTTCTCTGGCTACACTGTTTCTTCCAACTCCCCTGCTTCTGTTCTCACTACCCCGACACGTGGACGCCCCTCCTGTCCTTTTCAGCCTGTGCAACTCTCCTCCTCACTCACTGTTCAAATCTCACTTCAAAATGTCTGTGCGAGCAGACAGAGCCGTCCACTTCCAGCATCGCCCCAATACCTGCTCCTCTCCGCATCACAGGTGACCCATGCCCACCAGTGCATGCTCACTCCGCACGAGCATGGCCAGGTGAGGGCAGGGACGCTCCTCATTCCTCTAACTCCACGCCTGGTCAAGCCCTCCCCCCGCCCCTCCCCCCAGCAGGTGCTCCATAAATATGCTTTTGGAACAAGGATATATGATCAAGAGGCTCTTACTCTTCCTTTTTCCACAAGGTTTGTAATCATAATGATGATTCCAGTGTTTTGTTCCCAAATCATCCTCCAGAAATCTTCAAATGTAGACTTTAAAGGTCCCTGGGTGGCGATGTAGGCTTTTGCTTTGTTGTAACCCTTCAAAGACGACACAGCACAAAGTCAGACGGAAGCAGTGTCACAGAGCAGTCAATAATTCAAGTGCCAGCCACGCCGGACAGGCTGTGTTCTAGTGAGCGCTCTGTGCAGCATCACAACACATCCGAACCTCCCCGCGGCTCACCCCAATGGTCAGAAACAGGTGTGCAGAAACAGTGACTTACATCGACATAGTTTGCATTAATGTAGTCGCTGTGCTTGGAGTCTTTTCCTGGTAGAGGTCTTAACTTCACCCTGCTGTGATCATCTGTGGAGAAGAAAACAAAACAGCAAACCAAAATGTACAATTCAGAAAGTAGCAGCATTCCGAAGCACAAAACAGGCCAAGAGGTCATGTGGCATCTCCCAGAAGACCCCTGACATCTTTTGTCAGAAGAACAGAACTTAAAAGACCCAGCATCTGAACCTCATGTAAAAATCAAAGCTTCATGCTCTGGCCTGTGAGTGCCCCAAAATGCAGACAGAGGTCCTTATTGGTCCATCTAAGACCACTGCAAGTTGCGACCCTCCAAAATGTCCTGCTGCACTTGAAAACCAATTTCCAAGGCCTTTGATTAACCCATGCCCCCCTCCGCTCCCCATTACTACAGATATTAAAAAACTGATTGTTAGGAAACAACAAAGGTTTTGGGTAATGGGCATTCTTAAATGCATGGCTCAGACCACAGGCACGCCTAGAAATGATCTCTGTTTTAAAAGAATGTTCTTAGGAATGCTTTTGATTTTGATGAACCCACTATTATATATTTTTACCGTTCTAATTTTTAATAGTTCTCAGGTACTGTTGAATTATTTACTTGTTAAGTATGGTATCAAAATGCAGTTATTTTAAAACTGGAAAAAGTCTCTTATTGTACAGAATATTGTCTTGTAATATTTTTGTATACAGTAATTTTTTGTTCTAGCAAGTCCACAGCATCTATTTTCAGCGATTTTCACTGCTAAATTATTCCGGAGTCCCTGCCAGCCCAACAGAGCTTTCAGCATTGAGGAAGCTACAGCTGCCTGTAAGGGTACTGTCCTTGCACGGCTCTGAAGTCAGTGACCAGATTTTAGGATCCACTTAACTTTAGCTGTGACCAAAAGGGGGTGATGCTATGTGCCTCTAGTTGCCCAACAGAGTGAGCTTGTGTTTCTAGGATAACAAACCAAAATAAACCCGAGGTCATAATTTTATTTTCCCTAGCTAGAAATGGGCAAAAGCCAATTCACATTTCTGTGTATAGTCATGGCCATCCAAGGCTAGTTCAAAAAGAAGCCCAATGAACGATGAGCCCAGACACGACTGACTGACTGTATCGAGCACCTTTTGAAAGCCGTCTACCTTCTGGGAACCGTGAATTGCTTGTTCTGACAAACTCAGACTATAGTTGACATGAACAGGACTGCCTGATAGAAATAGACCCCGGATGAAAACTTTCAATAAGGCACCTGTATACAAACTGTTCTGCGTTCTTAGCATTACGTTGTCAATTATTTCTCAGAGGGACAAATAAAAAACATCCTTCAAGTTGCAATTTCACATTTAATTAATAAGGTAATAGAATGGCTAAACAGATCAATGCCAGAGCTGGTGTGCTGGCATCCACATGTAACTTAAAAGTTGTGATGCTTTGTGAGAAAGGTGTTTTTCGGGCACATTCAAGAACACATTTTACTTGTTCCATGACATTTCCATGCTACTCTTTGCTATGCATAGGTATTAATATAGGGGTGGACCAAGGTGATGAGTGATATGCCCAGAACCTGGCCAAATGGCCAGGAGAACACCACAACCCAACTCTCCGAACTCACAACAACGGAACCGCATGTGATTTGAATTTGTGCAAATAAAGTCACAATGAACCTGAGAAAGTATAACCACATCTAAGTGGAGACGGTCGTTTTCCAGCAAAAACATGACCCTTGGTCACGTCACACAGAAGCTGCTTTGATTTCCTCCCTTTGCTTTGCCACATGTTTAGCCAAGACAGTGAGGTCACTGGAAGTAAAGATTGCTGTGGTGGAGAGAAAGGTATGTATGGACATGTGCCAGACACATGTATGCAGAGATCACTGCCTTAGTCATATGGTTAGAAATGAGCTACAAATCCTCACAATCTCAGCACAATGAGCCTTGACTGGATTGGCCAACAAATACTACCAGAGTCAATTCACTAACAGATGGAGAGAAAAGAAAAGTTTGACTCTTCTTGTTCTCTTGTTTACCTGACTCATTCTCTCAGAAAACTGAAACAGATACTCTTTATCCAAAAATGACTTGTGGTTCTTTTAAAACTTTATCTAGAGGAAGAAATAAAACTACATTCATAGATGACACAGTATTGTATTTAGAAATGCTAAGAAATCCACACAAAAATAACTATTAGAACTAATAAATTAGTTCAGCCACGGTTGTAAGACACCATATAAACATGCAAAAATCAACTGTATTTCTATACATTCAGTGAACAATCTGAACATAAAATTAAGTAGACAATTCCATTTATAATAGCATTAAAAAGAATAAAATACCCAGCAATATAGTGCATAAAAATGTAGCACCTTTAAAATGCAGACTATAAAACATTTGTTGAAAGAAATAAAAGATGATCTAAGTAAATGGAAAGACATCCCATCTTAATGAATTGAAAGAGTATTGTTAAGATGGCAGTGCTTCCCAAATTAATCTACAGATTTGATGCAATCCAATCAAAATCCCAGCTATGCTTTTTCTTATGGTAATAAACAAGCTGATCCTTTAGCTAATTCATGTGGAAACACAAGGGACCTAGATTAGCCAGGAAAAAATCTTAAAGAAGAACAAAGTTGGAGGGCTCACAGTTCCCCAACTTCAAAGCTTATTACAAACCTATAGTCAGTAATCAAGACAGTGTAGTACTGATATAAGGATAGACATTAATGGGATAGAATTGAGAGTCCAGAAATAAACCCTTATACCTATGGGCAGTTAATTTTCATTAAAGGTCCTAAGACAATTCAATGGGGAAGAGTACTGGGACAACTGGATATCAATATACAAAGAATGAGGTTGACCCCTACCTCACACCATATACAAATATTAATTTAAAATTGATCAAAGACTAAATATAAAAGCTAAAACCATATCATGACCGTGGATTAGGCAATGATTTCTTAGGTATGCCACCAAAAGCATAGGCAACAAAATAAAAAACATACATAGGATTTCTCCATAATTAAAAAAAAATAGGGTGACCCATAAATGTATACACACACTTTAAATAATTATAAAGGCAGTGTTTATTAAAATACATTTCATTCTCAAAACTGAGCTATCAGCTGTTACAGTGCGTATACATTTTTCTCGGACACTCTTGTATGTGCATCGAAGGAGGACGCCATTAAGAAAGTGAGAAGGGAATGCACAGAATGAGAGAAAATGCTTTCAAATCTGTCTGATCAGGGATTTGTATCCAGAATGTCTAAAGAACTCAAACTAGAAAAAAAAGGGTAAGTAATCCATTTTAAAAATGGACAAAGAATATGAATAGATATTTCTCCAAAGAAAATATACAAATGGCCAATAAGTACATGAAAAGATGGTCAACATCACTAATCACTAGGGAAATGGAAGTCTAAACCACGGTGAGATACCACTTCACATGCATTAGGATGGCTCTTATAAAAAAAAAGTAACAAGTGTTGATGAGAATGTGGAGACACTGGAACCCTAATATATTGCTGGCTGGAAGGTAAAGTGGTGCAGCCACTTTAAAAAACAGTTTGGGAGTTCTTAAACATTTTAAATATAAACTTACCACATGACCTAGCTATTGCATTCCTAAGTATAATCCCAAGAGAATTAAAGATAGATGTCTACGCAAAACCATATATACAAATGTTCGTAGCAGCATTATTCATAATAAAAAAGTTGAAATAATACAAATGTCCATTAAATGATAAATGAGTAAGCAAAACATGGTATAGCTATAGCACAGGGTATTATTTATAAGGACTTAAATACTGATACAGCTACAACATGGATAAATCTTGAACACATCATGCTATGCTGAAGAAGCCAGACACAAAAGGCCACATGTTGTCTGATTGCATTTATATAAAATGTCAACATAGGCAAACCTATAGAGACACAAAGTAGGTAAGTGGTTTCTAGAGAGTTTAGAGGGAGAGGGATGAACTGAGCGTGGCTGGGTAATGGGGTTTCTTGTTGCTAAGAATGTTCTATAGCTAGATAGTGGTGATGGTCGTACAACTCTGACTCCACTAAAAAGCAGTGGAATGTAAACTAGCTCTAAATGGGTGAATTTAATGGTATGTGAATTATATCTCACTGAAGTATTACAGACTCCAGCACTGTTCAAATTTAAGTGGTCCAACTTAAATGCACTATTACATAAAACTCTGTAATGTGTTCCTTACCATCATGTATGTTAACCATAAACACCTGTGCCCCTGCCCTTAATAGCACAGCATATATTATCTGCCAGTGACCCAAGCACGGGTGTCTACGAAAAGTGGCAACCAAGCCATAGAAGCTGCCTGTGCTCCTATGGTATTCCTGGGCTCCATAAAATAATACTTATTTGTCCTGGCTGGTTTGGCTCAGTGGATAGAGTGTCGGCCTGCGATTGAAGGGTCTCAGGTTCGATTCCAGTCAAGGGCACATGCCCGGATTGCAGGCTTGATCTCCAGTGGGGGGCATGCAAGAGGCAGCTGATCAATGATTCTCTCTCAGCATTGATGTTTCTATCTCCCTCTCCCTTCCTTTCTGAAATCAATAAAAATATATTAAAAAAAAAAGAATAACACTTATTTGAGACCGGGATCTTCAGGATACTCTTGACCCTGGAAATATGTTGGATAGGACTAAACACGTGGGGCACAAGGACTGGAGTCTCATCATTAGGGCAGAGTTACCTAGTCTTAGATGGCTTTGAAAGTCAACTTATTTGATTCAATTTCAGAATTTCTATTTGTATTAAAAGATTTGGCTCTCGCTGGTTAAAACAATGTCAAGATAGCCACATGACATTAGAATTTTTTGGTTTCACATATGGAATCACATGTGAAAACAGTGAAGTTCAGAACATTTTCTTTTAATCATCTTATTACGATTAATGAAAGAGATCCTACAGCTTAATGAAAGACGAAGGGGGCAGCAAATGTCCCCATTTCTTCCTGGGGACTGTTGAAGACGGGTGAGTGACAGGTAACTTGCAAGGGTAGCTCTTTGTTGGCACCCTGATTCTGACTGCTTGGCTTTCAGCTTACACCCCGCATGAAGCAGTGGAAGAGAGCTCGAAGTTGATTACTTACATGCTAAAATGTTGATGTATCTGTTTTTGTGCTTGTGTTTTTGTGCTTGTTATCTGGATGATTGGAATGTTCTGCGGTGATGTTCATGTCAGCCGTACAGCGTTGGACTTCCTATTCAGAGGTTTTAGACACACACGAGACGTTGAACAACAAGCACAAAGTATTCACTCAGTCCCTAGCCACTGCCACTGTTACCTCCCCAAACAACTCCAGAAATAATTAGTACTGACATAGTCCTAACAAATGTACGAGGGATGTGAACAAGATAAAAGGATTTCATTCTTTACTAATTCATCAATCATCTACTTTAATACAGCTTTGTCCCTAGACATGGGGATTACAAAAGAGTATCTCTTTTTAAGTCTATCACAGTCTCATGGGGGAGAAAACCATGCAAAAAGATGATGATAGTCAAGCGTGATTAACAGAAAAGAGGCCTGAAGAAATTAGGGTCAGAGCATAGAGCAATGTTTCAGATGAGAGACCCTTCACGGGTCCTAAAGAATAAGCCAGCATTTTCCAGGCAGACGTATAAAGCCCCACCATGAGTTGCAATATGCTTATCAATTATATAGTCTCACTTAAAAATTTATTTATTTCTTTGAAAGGAGGGAGGAAGGGGTAGAAGGAGGGAAGGGAGGGAGAGGGAGAAGGAAGGAGAGAGAGAGAAACATTGATTTGTTGTTTCACTTATTTATACATTCACTGGTAGCTTCTTGGATGTGCCCTGACCCCGGATCAAACCCACAACCTTGGTGTATTGGAACGATGGTCTAACCAACTGAGCTACCTAGCCTCATTTTATAACTATCAGATTGCAAATTGACTATAAAGACTCAGTCCTGAAATGACACTGATATATAGCCCAATCGTCATATCTGGCTAAAATATGTCTCTGATAATTATTTGTGAGCTCTAATTTTATTTAAATCACCCTTCTTTACAAAAACAGCAAAAGCAGCAATTCTCATTGGCTACCTGTGCCATGGGTCTAAACATCATCCATTAGCCTAAACAAGGTGCTGAAAAGTCAAATTTTTCTACACTGTTATGCTTCAAACCCAGGAAAGTGCTGGAGCTAACGAATAAGGGAAGTCCGTGGCAGCGCACAGCTGCTACAGACAGGAGCGAAGTGGCCAGCCCATCAGGGGACAGTTTTCCATGTGGCAGACGTAGCAGCGTTTAGGAGCTCGCAGACTCTCTTTCACAGGAGCTGCAGAGCAGCTGTGGGTGTTTCCCACCGTGTTTTCATCAGGCATCACGAACACAGGACTTTGACATTCACAGAGGACTTCCGGTGACCAGGCCTCTCCTCTCCGAGGAGGAACCCACTTTAATCAAAGCAGCACTAGTATAAAAACAAAGGGGCGCCATCTAGTGAAAGAAACCACATTCATGGGCTCCCGATTCTGGGACGCTGTAGATGGGAATTTTTCATAATTGTGGGCCTTCCCATTTGTCCATTAAAAAAAAAGAAGAAAAGCCCACAGGCATGAATTCAACACACTTCTGTGTTTCATGACAATGCTTACCCTTTTCTTACTCTTATGAAGTGTGATAAGCTCTGATAATTTCTATCCTAGTGGTTTATAATCTATGGCTTGGCAAATGCTGGCTGAAAGAGGCCTAAGGCTGCCTTTGGCTCTTTTCCCTAAAACGAGATGAAGTGTTGGGCACAAAGCGATGAGTCTGAGATCTCAACATGGACAAGAGCACAGCCCTGCTCGCCATACTCAGTGCATCTGGGGAATGGGCCTTCGGAATCATCTAGAAAGCCCGAGGTACACTCTTTTGAACAGTATCAGGGCAGAGGACCTTTGAAAATGGATCTGTATTCCGGAAAACATGAATTCAATCCATGCACAGATCCCTGAACAACGTGACACCCTTTGCTTCTGGGTTTTGAAGGTCATGGGCTGGCAAGTACCTCTTCAGGGCTGAGCTGCTGGAAGACGGGGTGCCGAGAGACCCCAGCTTTTAGTGCTGTAGCCGGAGATGCATGTTGTTTGCTGGTATTCCCCCCACTGAGCAAGTCTGACCACACTTAGCCACGGACTGAGGTTGAGCTTCCATTATAATGTAATGCAATTGACCGAGCCTGCGTGGGAGCAGCTGTCTGCCCTGCTTACAGCAGTCATCCGATATGGCCAATCAGACTCTTCGTTGTCTAAAACCCTCCATCGGATCCGTTGCCTCTGTTTCACTTTTCCAATTATGTGAATGACAGAAAGCAAAGAATCGTCATAAACCATGTTAAATCTGATTTTATTAGAAACCAAGGCGTTTGCCTAAGGCCTTGTGATTCTGTCTTGTTGATGGTGATGTCATCTGTAATTCCTTGCAGTGCTGCCTGGCTCATTCGGATGATAACATCCTCTGGTCTCAGAGAGCGGCTTCCCCATCAGAACTGGCACTTCAAAGTCAATGTGATTTTCATAGGTGCTGCGCCTTCCAAGGGACAGTGGCGGACGGAGTGTGCATAGGAAAGTTGCCTACTTAGCACGCTGACCAATAGTTTAGGATTTGAGTTTACAACTATTTTACTGTCTATATAGCAAAGCTGGCATTCTCAAAACGACATCCTTAGCACCAAGAGGCACATACCACAGAAGAGATTTAAAATACGGTGAAACTTTAAAAATGAACACACACAAAACCTCTAAAAGCTGACAGAGAGTCTCAGGATTCCTGGGAGGTGAAGCAGCATAATCCCCCTCTGCGTGGAGGCCTACTGTCCTGCCATCGGAGGCACAATTGGAACAAATATCTGGACGAAAATGCACCCGGGCATCTCTCGGCTGCCTCCGCGTCACCAGCAGGCCGAGGAGAATATCCGGGCCGCTGACCGTGTGAGGCCGAGCGTGTACTATTCTCAGGGCCGGGTTCAGCCAGCTGCTGGTCACACCGCATCATCCCGCCTGGACTCCGCTCAGGCCGAAAGCTGCTGCCCACGATTTCCTTCCAACGCTGCCCTGACGCTGTATCCTCTCCCTCAGAAACCCCCCCGGGGGGGGGGCCCCCACATTCCTAGCAGCCTCTCCAGGGCCCACCCCACCCCTCACCAACCCCCTCCCCGTTCCCAGATGGTGTTAGCTCTGTTCCCTCTGACTCCTGTGCTCTGCTTCCTGCCACTTACCTAGCTCCCAGCTCCCCATGCCGGCCCTCTGCGCCCCCATCCAGAGGTCTATGGAAAACCGCCGCCTCACGGCTCCAGAAAGCCAGCCCGTCTCTGGAGTGTCATCGTAAGATGAAATGATCTTTTCTACGCGATTTGTGGAACTTGGCTCACTCACTTTTGTCTCACCCTTCGTATGAACCTCCACTTAATCAACCATGGTTGTCTTCATAATAAGGGTTTAAAAATGCTTTTCTTCAAGACATTTAAGATCCAAACTGGCATTTTGTCCCTGAGGCTCAGGAAGCTCTACAGGGTCTGTCCCAGCAGGTGGCGGTCTGCACACAGCATCACCTCTCTGTTCCCCTGATGGCCCGGGCCACACGCACTCTGCATCTCACATAAAGTGACTGTGGCCGCTGGTCCCTCAGCACAGGGGCTCAGGTGGACACGGCTTTGTTCTCTGGATTTAGGATGAGCAATGGGCCCAAATTTAGCTCAGCTGGAGTTAATTGTAACCGAGGCAATGCCCCCAAGGATCTGGTCAAGGGTCCCGGCCCTCTGGCCTCACCCTGCACTCTCCTGCCCCCGCCTATTAATCCTGTCGACCCCAGGGGCCCGAGCTCCCCTTTATGAAGGGTCACGCGAGCACTGCGCCTGAGGGAGCCCCTGGATTATGACGGTGGAGCCTGGGAGACTGAGGTTGAAGTCAGCCCAGGCAGCCAAGGGAACAGAGTCACTGAACGCCTCCCGGGACAATGATTGATGTTATTGCCAGTGACTGCAAAAGCCGCCAGAGGTATAATGTCGCCAGCTTTTCACAGGCTCCAAAATGTACCCGACAAGACAAAAAGCTTGCTTTCAGCATCACCAGAATTACCAGGGAACCGTTTTCCTCATTCTCCTCCAAGCAGCAAAGTTCTGAGAATGGAACAGCTATTCGCCACAATTTTTCCTCCCAACTGCCATCCACGATTTTTTAACAAGATGGGGCACATAGAACTTTCGGTGAAATACCCAGTCATTTCACAGGGATCTGCTCTTCTTCGCTCCTCCGATGCTGTGTCTGTGTTCGCACTTACGTTGCTTTGCCCTCTGCCTTCGCTGGAGTACACGCCGGCCTGCACCCAGCACCCTGACCTTGAGGGCAGGGTCGCTCTTTCACTCCTCCTCATACTTTATATTGTGGCAGAGATGACCAGGCACTCCTCCCTGTTAGATGAGCTGTTCTATTCTTAGTGGCCAAATATCACTGGCAAGTGGTATTTCTCTATAATCTTAAAATTAGTTAATTTTAGGGCTTTATTCAGATGTTACATAAGATTTTTATAAGTCAGATTCCCAGAAATCTGGGAAGGCTCTAGACCAAAAAGACCATGTCATGGGCTGCTGGTATTCTCAGTGGGGGCTCCTGAATTTTGGCTCGTCCCCCTGCCCCGTTTTCACTCGCCAAGGCGATGGTTGACCCGTCAGCGGCATGATGGGTCTCAGACAATCCCTGGTAATCCTGGTTTTTCTCCGCTGACGTCAGCTCATTACAGACACCGAGGGAAGTCTTGAGCGTGTCGAGGTTCAGCATGTGGGCTCGCTTCAGAAAGCCTGGGACTTAACACCTTGGCTGTCATTTCAAAAGGAGTCCTCCCAAAGCCTTCGTTTTCTCCTGGGTCCAGTTTCCTCATCTGTAAGACGGGGACAATAAAGCAGCCCCCTCCTGGGTGGTCCCGAGGAGCGAGGCACTGGCTGGCCGTCACCTTCCAGTGAGAAGACCTGGCAATCCGGGGTGAGGTTACTACTGCTCCCTTACCATGATGAGGGTTTTGTTTTGTGTTTTTAAAATCACACACGGTCTCTTTTCCTGACCTTCCTTTTATAGCCCATGACTATCTCCTGTTTCTAAACCAGCCTCAATACCTCCTTCCATAGCCTGTTATGTTTTCCTTTCTAGCAGAGCCGACCAAAAGCAATACTATTACTGTTTTTAAACACTGCCGATTGCCCCGGTTAGAAGCCGACAGTGTATCCCTGAGCTCCCATGCTGTGTCTCATTCCCCTTCGCATTGCTCCCTTCCTGTTCTCTTGAGAAGGAAGGAGACTCCTCCTGTTCTGAGCAGCTCTGGTTTTCAACCTTTCAAACTGGACAGACTGTGAAATGACACTAGCAGAACGCCTTCCCCCTCCGTCCCCTCTCCCTCCCTAACTACCTGCTCATAGATTTAAGCTCTAAAGTTCAATTCGGCTCCAAAAGCTGCTGGCCTCCGCCTTTTTTTTAGGCTAGAAATAGGGTGCAGATGCCCGGGATTTGATAACAGGCATGGTTTTGGTGCAGCAAAGCCATTTTAAGTCCCATCAAGTTTACAGAGGTGTAGCTGATTATTTTGAATAATTAAATGGTGTCGAAACCAGCTGTGATGAATAGCACTGGGGTCTCAAATCATAAATAATTGAGAAACTGGAGTTGCATTTGATCATCCTGATCAAATTCTGTTCTCTAGAGGATAAATGTTTGTCCTGAATACCATCAACATTGTTAAATGCCTCAATATTCTCGCTCAGTCATCCAGCCAACAGTCAATTGAACTAAATCACTAGAACACCACACACAGTTGCTGTCCTCATGAATACAAAACGTTTGACCTTAAACCATGTTCTCTGCAGCTGAAGAGGCTCCTTTTTGGGTAAGGGTTAGGGACATTACATACTTGACATGTTTTTATTTGTTCCACGAAACACAGGGCTGGGCAGGGTAACATCGTTCTACCACCTCTGCTTTGATTCCGCTCAAAAAACAAAACAAAACAGACACTAAGAGAAAGGCTTTCTTTAACACGAGTTGTCGCTGTCACTGCCTGGTGATGGCCTTCGGGACTCGGAATCTGCAGAGACGGGGCTCTGGCCCTATTGCTATTGCTCATCCTCCATGCGGAATCACCACACCTCCCAGCTGTGCGGCTCCTCAAGAGAACCTCAAAGGGCTTGCCTTCCATCCCTTCATCTGATCCTCACACCCATTTTGTGGAAAGAGGTGGGCAGGTTAGCATCCTCATCATCGTCTCCATTTCCAAGTAGAAATGAGACAGAGGGAGGAACTGGCTTGCCCGGAAAGCTAGCAGACAGCTGAGCTGCCATGAACACTTGGCCTCCTCGGCACAGCTCCTGCTGCCAGGGATGTGCCTAGCGCGGCGCCTCGGTGGGGAAAAGGGCAGTCTAGTCTGTTTAATCGCTCCCATCGCCACCCTGTCACTGTGAACTGGCAGGGACCCCAGAGCTGGCAGGCGGCTGCGCGCTGCGCGCTACCTTCTTTGCTGCACCCAGTGCTGGAGCCAGACGCCTGTTAGCCGGCTCCTCTCCCAGGATTCCTAGTCCAGGCAGCACCCACCTGCGAGGGCCTCCCTTGCCGTGACCCCAGTACCTTCAACGATGAAGTTCATCATTCATTTTCTCCAACTTTAGGATGTAGGTGACACTGGGGCCATTTTAGAAAGGAGGATGCTGGGGTCAGAGACACAGTGACTGGCCCAAGGGTGGCACAGCTCATTACGGGTGGAGCCAGCATCGCGATCCTCAGATTCCAAATCTGCAGGCCCCGCCACAGCTGCGCACCCTGGACGTCCCGCCCCTCTCCCCCCCACCGGGGGATGGGGTGAGCCCTGTCCTTGTGGTGGCTGCTGCCCACTTAGGATTAAAGTGAAGGTAGAGCCTGAGTTCGCCTTTCCACCTCTCAGCCTGAAGTGCATGTCGGGGACATGTGACACCTCATTTTTATTCAGGAAAGAATGCCTGTGAAAATGTAAGTGTGAGGAAAAAAAGAAAACGATACACAATCTCCGCTTCCCTCGTGGTTATGCTTGAAGTCCATGCATTTCAGGTTTACAAAAACCCCTGTAAAATGAGAATGAGGTCTCTGGACACCTCACTCTGAAACATACCTCAAAATCCTCGGAGAAGCCGTGCTGGTTATTGGAATAGAGCTCCCCGATGTGTTTCACAAACTGTTTGACCGGGATGGCCTCCATGTCATCTGGGAAGAGAATGACAGAGTCACACAGCCTGTCTCCGCAGAACGAGCAGCACCGGTAAGGGGGGCGGAGGACAAATGTGTGGTTTTCGGAAGGAGTGATACCACCGTGTCACCTGGAATAGATGTCCTGAGACAAGCATCGGGGTTCACTTTCTGTTAGGGTCTCACTGCGATTTTGAATGTTTACGGTTAAATACGGTTTTTTAAAAAGGGACATCATACAAATCACCTCTATTCTTATAGTCAAGGCAATTTACATAGTTAAACTGCCACATACTCTTAACTAAAGGTCTGATCTTATCAAGGGTACCTATTAGTCACGACATTTTATCACAACCTCGTTGGTTTTTTTTTAATTGCTATTCAATGGGGCCCAGCTTGAAGTTGGGGCGATTAAGTTCTATTTGCAATCTCTGCAGGCTAAGCAATCTATAGACACCATTACAGATAGATGCCACGTACAAGCCGCCTTAGGGTTCAATGCCATCTATGTTAAGTATTCAAGATTTTAGTTCAAGACAGCTGTGTCCACACGATGCCAAGTAATCAGTTTGGCTGAAGTAACGGGAGTTTTTTGGTGCCGACAGCCTAGGTATGGAATCAGGAAGAATCCGAGTTCCCATTTGTTTTGTTGTCACTCCACGAGGGCGCTCTCAGTTCCTGACCCACGTGTGCTTCAAGCTGCTTTACCCAGATCCCGGCCGATGCCGGAGGGCCCCGGAGAAGCTGCCATGCCCTGAGAACTGGAGCTCCCCAACCTCTCCCCTCCCCCACCAATATTTCCTTTAAAAAAGACTCCGCTGAATTTGAGATAAACAACAGACATGACATTTACTTTATTCAGAGTGAAAGATCTTTGGCAAACGCACAAACATCTAAACTGCCACAGATGCTTTTCTTAGCAAAGGGTATGAAGATCTGTATGTGTAAATGGGTCCTACTTTGGCAAGAATGTTAGAGATCCGGGCCTGACAATCTGATTTCCCTTCATCTGGTGACAGCTAACATGGACTATGTCATTCCTCCTCTCCTTTCTCTCTCTCGAGAGAGCAAAGCTCCAGGGTGGCTTTTTGCATCTATTGACATTTTCAAACTTGAATCATTCTTACGCGGAAAATAGCATCTCTTATAGTTCGTTTAAGGAAGGTGATTTATGTGTTCATACTCCAAACTGCTTAGCACAAGAGATGCTACTTGTCAAACAGGTGCTGCTCTGTAAGCACACATTCCTTCTGTGTGAACAATTAAAGACCTAATCATTTTAATAGGCCACCTTACGAAAAAATTGCCAAGTAATTTACCAATATTTCAGGATGGAAGCTGTTCATGAATATGCAATCACGTTGCACGCCCAGGAAAATCTATAGCTCCGTGATGATGTAACCGGCATTAGATAAGTAAGCAGAGCCAAAATGTTTCCCCTGAATATTTAGCAGAATGCACAGTTAAAAAAATGCTTCCCACATGATCTGATCAGTTCACTTAAAATGTTCAGAAGTAAGCAAATTCTAAAATAATGATCAAATGGCAAATAAGTTAGCTTGGGTTGAAAAAGGGGTTAATTATGTACAAAATTGGAGAGTCTCTAAAATATTAACCCAAGAATAAGCTCATCTTCAAACAAGAGGCAAAATCAGTGAGATGGCATGCATCTAGCCCCTCAAACGCTCCCGGACACAGACTCCAGCATGTCTCTCCTGTTCACTGTGAAATGAGACATTCCTGTTTCCAAGGGCAGAGTGTCGTTAATAGTGTAATAGGTGGAGGAAAATGACAGGTTAGAACTGCAGATTCCTAACAAAGTCGTGGTGCTGTGACTGAGCACATGGACTCTAGTTCAAAATAAGAAAAAAACATGTTAGCTTTAGAGCTATTTTACTCCGCAAGGGACAAGCCACAGCATTTTAGAGGTCACAGCTACCTCAAGTCATTAAAACCATGCTTTAATGTTAACAGTCCTTTTCCCCCCCTGCAAAGTGCTCATCTGTAACATCCAGGCTAATGCCATCCATGCCCAGGAACCAGGCTGCCCGCTGCCCCAGGGCTCAGCACGCTCATCCTGGCAAGAGAAGACTCACTAGCCTCTCCAATTCGCTCCTTTATCCAAGGAAGTCTAACCACTCCCCTCGGGTTTCCAGGCATCACCAGAGACACCACGAAACTGGCAGACAGACAGACAGCCACACACATACACACACACACACACACGCACACCCCACATACACGCTGTACTGGCTGTACTGGCCACCGTCAGCTACCCAGATAACACATTATTAGTCTTTTAATCGAGATAAATGAAACGGAGGGGCCATAAATCTTGTTTCAATATTAAGATGAAGATAAGGCTATGGCTAATTAGAAGTCCTAATAGTTTTCCTCTTACACAGTTTTTCTATTAAATGTCTTTCAGCACGAGCCAGATAATTATAAAATTGCTGTTTCCAGCAGAAGGCCAGGCAATTAGGGCATCATCATCACAGACCTGAGCTGCTCGATTTTCATCTGGACAGACCCTCTGCTACAGGAACACATCCATCTGAAAGATGTTATTGCCACTGAAACATCTGAGTTTCATCAACAAGTGCAGAGAATATTAGGCAAAGCCATGGACCAGGTGCTTTCTGTGCCCTTGTATGTAGCACATGCATTGACATGTATGGTTTGCACACTCATCTTAGAGTGGAGAGACAAGCTCAGAAAGATTAACTGAAGGCTGCAGTATGGCTGCAAAAGCTGGCCACCGACCCAAGGTCCAGACACTCCGGCTCGGAGATACTGGGTATGTCGGGGAAGAGTGAATGGGAACCCCCGGCTGAGGCACTGACTGAGCACCCAGTACTCAGCCAGTGGGAAGTGAGGTGGCCTCTGCCCAAGGGAACCTTTGTGTGGGAAAGTGAATGCGGGGACTGCATTTAACAGCATGGTGAAGACAGAAGTGCCATCTAAGGGATGGAGCTGGTGACTCAGGTGAGGGTGCCTGTCCCTGATGCAGTGGTGGCTCAGGTGAGGGTGCCTGTCCCTGATGCAGTGGTGGCTCAGTCAGGTGAGGGTGCCTGTCCCTGATGCAGTGGTGGCTCAGGTGAGGGTGCCTGTCCCTGATGCAGTGGTGGCTCAGTCAGGTGAGGGCGCCTGTCCCTGATGCAGTGGTGACTCAGTCAGGTGAGGGTGCCTGTCCCTGATGCAGTGGTGACTCAGTCAGGTGAGGGTGCCTGTCCCTGATGCAGTGGTGGCTCAGGTGAGGGTGCCTGTCCCTGATGCAGTGGTGGTTCAGTCAGGTGAGGGTGCCTGTCCCTGATGCAGTGGTGGCTCAGTCAGGTGAGGGTGCCTGTCCCTGATGCAGTGGTGGCTCAGTCAGGTGAGGGTGCCTGTCCCTGATGCAGTGGTGGCTCAGGTGAGGGTGCCTGTCCCTGATGCAGTGGTGGCTCAGTCAGGTGAGGGTGCCTGTCCCTGATGCAGTGGTGGCTCAGTCAGGTGAGGGTGCCTGTCCCTGATGCAGTGGTGGCTCAGGTGAGGGTGCCTGTCCCTGATGCAGTGGTGGCTCAGGTGAGGGTGCCTGTCCCTGATGCAGTGGTGGCTCAGTCAGGTGAGGGTGCCTGTCCCTGATGCAGTGGTGGCTCAGTCAGGTGAGGGTGCCTGTCCCTGATGCAGTGGTGGCTCAGGTGAGGGTGCCTGTCCCTGATGCAGTGGTGGCTCAGGTGAGGGTGCCTGTCCCTGATGCAGTGGTGATGGGGGAGAAACGGAGACCAAGAGCTGAGTGGAATCCCAGTGAGGATGCTCGCACGAACCACCTGCCACACAGGAGATTGTTACGGTCTGAGGGCAGTCAGTATAAAGAGAAGGCAGCCACCAGTTATTAACCCTCATTGGCTGCCAGCGACTGTGCCACATGCTTTTTCATAGATTTATCTTTGTAAGAACCAGGCAAAGGGGACCTTGCTATCCTCTCATCGCACACAAGGAAATCAAGGGGACTTGTTTCTAGTGACACCATTACTCAGTGGTAGAGCTGAGATTCGAATCAGGTGCCCCGAGCCCAAACCTGCACTCCTATGCACCGAGGTTCACTCTCCAAGCCCCACAGCGCCAAGGAAAAGCGAGGCATGAGAACAGCTCAGCAAACCTGGCGAAACGGTACTTTATAATTTTGTGCCAAAAGTTTTACTTACTGGATTTTCACATCACAAAGGTATGTTCCATTAGGCAAAAATGGGGCTGCTACTGTCAGCACGAAAGCGCCCCATTGTAAAGTGTTTGAGAGTCTGCTGCAAATCAGCACCTGCCATGAAATGATACCACTTATACCGTTTCCCAGGTTTTAGCCCTTTGTGGTTGGAACTACAGCTGTAGGGAGAGGCCTTTTATTTTGGCCAGTCGGCAACAAAACGCCCCGTGGACCCCTTTTGAGGAAGTTGAGGTTAACCTCTGGTTCGCAGGCCCCGAAGGCAGGGGCGAGCACCTCCTCACAGAAGGTGCCGCAGCCGAGGGTTCTCAGGAGGAAAAAGAGAGCGGAGTAGTGTGACCGCAAACGCAGCACGGGGGGAAATAAGGAAAAGTGGATTTGAACACACAAAGAAAGCCAGGTCCCTGCTGTGCTCACACGTTCAAGGCCATGGCGGGACGTTCCCGGACTCGGTCTACGCTCCTAACCGCTCGTGTGTGCCGAATTTGCTGGTCATCAAACACAAATGGAAAAACTCAGCTTTCTTGTTGGCGGTTTTTGGTGTGATATTCGAAAGGAAATATCAGCCACCCCGGGGGGCACTGCCGAGGCCCAGCCTGCGAGTCAGTGACGTCGTGCAGCTGCCCTGCTGCCAGCCACGGTGATGGACACGCCCGAGTGCCGGGCACAGAGGCGGGGGTGTGCCCACCTGAGACTCCCTCTCTGCATCGCTAAAATGGGGGTAATGACAGGACCGAACAGAGTGTCATGAAAAGTGAGCTAGATAACAGAAGTACTTGTAAGAGCGCTGGGCCTTTAGCAAATACCTAATCATTGTGATTTACTGTTCGGTGCTAATGGCTTTATGCG